TTCTGTGGGACAGTGCGGGTAGAGCAAACCCACGTGAGTTAGCCCATGCGGGATTACAGTGGTTGTGCCCTTTTGGGCCCCCATGAGGGTTTTCTGTGAGCAATCCACCATGTTAACAACACAGAAGAGCTAAAACTTTGTTTTAAGATTGGATGGTAATCAAAATAAACTTTTTAAATATATATTTTTTATCTACATGCAAATGTAGCAAGATTTCTGTGACAATGACAGTAAAATGTAAACAATAAATTGTCCATAACAAAAATTTAATATATTCAACATGTCATTAAGTTAAGGCAGTAAGGTCAAATAACAATGTATTTTGAAAATGTGCCATTGCCTTTCTGATATGACCTAATTCTCTCACAGGTGCATGTGAAATCAAGTCCCAAATTTTGTTTCTGGTCTTATTTTATTTTAGTCTTTGATGTGTGTGTGTGTATGCATGCATGTATTTATTTATTTACTATTTTCTTTCAGTCACACCTATTTCACTCTTGTAATATATATATATATGTATGTATATATGTATGTATGTATGTATATATTGTAACGGGGTGAAGAATCACACGACAATAAATCTCAATCAATATCCCGGACGGTGGATTTATTGGGGTGAGGGGTGCTCGTGAGAAAGGTCCAGGTAGGTGCTCTGGTGCCGTGAGTGCTCTCTTCCGTCTTCCCAGTGCAGAGGGTCCGTGCGGTGCTCCTGTGGGGCTGGTCGGTCACATGCTGCTTTCTGTGGGGAAAATGAGAGGGCAAGTTAGTGCTCAGTCTCATGGAGGAATCTCCTAGATGGCAGGGCTTGCGTGGCTTATGTAGCCGCCGCCTGATGAGGTGCAGCTGTGACCGATCAGCCTGTGATGATGGCCTTCTGGTCCTGTTAATGATATGAGATAGTAGGGGAGAGATAGGGGTGGGTGGGGAGTGCCCACTTGATGGCTAGGGCCTCCTTCCCCACTCCCCCGTAGTTCCTCTCGGCCGGGATCAGCTTCCTGCTGATGTAGATGACCGGATGTTCCTCACCCTCCTGGATCTGTGACAGGACGGCTCCCAGTCCTGTGTCGGAGGCATCCGTCTGCAGCAGGAAGGGGCAGCTAAAGTTCAGGGCTCGGAGGACGGGCTCTGAGATGAGGGCCCCCTTCACCCTCTGGAAGGTCTCCTCCGCTGCTGGTGTCCACTGTACCTTCTCCGGCTGCCCCTTCCTGGTCAAGTCTGTCAGGGAGGTGACTAAAGAGGAGAAGTTAGGGATGAAGCAGCGATAATATCCGGCCAACCCTAAAAAGGCTGGTACCTAGGTCTTGGTCTCGGGTCTCAGGGCGGAGCGTACCACCTCCACCTTCCTCTCCTGTGGCCGAATGAGACCACGTCCCACCTGGAAACCCAGGTGCTTCGCCTCGGAGAGTGCAAGGTGGCATTTTCGAGGGTTGGCGGTGAGTTCAGCTCTCCGGAGCTCCAAGAGCACCCTCCGCAACCGGTCCAGGTGGTCTTCCCATGCCTCGGAGTGGATTACGACGTCGTCCAGGTAGGCGGCGGCGTAGGCCTGATGGAGCCGCAACAGGATGTCCATCATCCACTGGAACATTGCGGTTGCCCCGTGGAGGCCAAAGGGAAGGGTCCGGTACTGCCAGTGGCCACTGGGGGTAGAAAAGGCAGTCTTAGGATTAGCGTTCTCAGAGAGGGGTACCTGCCAGTAGCCTTTAGTGAGGTCCAACGTTGAGATATACCAGGCCCTTCCCAGCCGGTCCAACAGCTCATCCACCCGAGGCATGGGGTATCCGTCGAACTCAGATACCTCGTTGAGGCGTCGGAAGTCATTGCAGAAGCGGAGGGTGCCTTCCGGTTTCGGGACCATCACGATTGGGCTGGACCACGGGCTGCGGGATGGTTCTATCACCCCCAACTTCAGCATTTGATGGATTTCCTCCTCAATAGCTCGCAGATGAGCCTCAGGGACCCGGTAGGGCCGTTGCCTGACGATGACCCCTGGCGGCATCCGGATGTCATGCTGCAGGACTCTGGTCCGCCTGGGCAGAGCAGAGAACACATCAGAGAACTGACCGACCAGGTGCTGCAGCTCCCTCTTCTGGGCAGCCGAGAGGTGGGGGTTGACGTCAACAACCACAAGATCAGAGACGGCGAGGGCCGCGAGCTGGTCTCTAGTCCCCACCCACTTATTCAGCAGGTTGATGTGGTAGAGCTGCTCGGCTCTCCTCCTCCTTGGCTGGTGCACACGGTACGTCACCGGCCCAGTCCTTTCCAGCACCGTGTAGGGACCCTGCCAGGTGGCCAGGGGACTAGGACCATGACTCGGTCTCCAGGCTGGAACTCCCGTGGTTGGGCTGCCCGGTTATAGTAGCGCTGTTGGGCCTGCTGCGCCCGGTGTGTTCCCGGACTAATGGCATGACCCGGTCGATCCTCTCCCTCTTCTGTCTGATGTGCTTGATCACAGAGCGATGGGCTGCCGGCTGTTGCTCCCAGGCCTCCTTTGCCACATCCAGGAGGTCGCGGGGTTGCCAGCCAAAGAGGAGCTCGAAGGGGGTGAAGCCAGTTGAGGCCTGCGGAACTTCGCGGATCCCGAAGAGGACATAGGGGAGCATCAGATCTCAGTCACGCTTGTCCTCCGCGACCACCCATCTCAGCATCTGCTTGAGGGTTTGGTTGAAGGGTTCGACCAGTCCGTCGGTCTGGGGATGGTAGACGGTGGTCCTCAACTACTTCACCCGCAGCAGCCGGCAGAGGTCAGCCATTAGCCGGGACATGAAGGGGGTCCCCTGATCGGTCAGGATCTCCGCTGGGATGCCGACTCGGCTGGAGAGCAGGAAGAGTTCCTGGGCAATGGCTTTGGCGGTGGCTTTTCGGAGGGGCACTGCCCCAGGGTACCGGGTAGCATAGTCGACGATCACCAGGATGTGTTCATGTTCCCGGGCAGACTTAGGCAACGGCCCCACAAGGTCCATCCCGATGCGCTCGAAGGAGACGTCGATGATGCGCAGCGTTATCAGCGGACTGGGGGGAGGCGTCCTGGGTGACGTCACTTGGCAGGTCGGGCAGGCTTGGCAGAACCGCTTCACTTCCGCTCCCAGCCCGGGCTAGTGGAAGCGGTCATGGATCCGCTGGATGGAGTTCCCGGCTACGAGATGCCCTGCCAAGGGATGGGAGTGAGCCAGCTCCATTATGGTCTCTGTTTTGGTGCGTGGCACCACCAACAACAATTTTTCCTCCCCCCTTCGCTGCGCGACACAGTACAGCAGGCCATTTTGCACGACGAAATGCGGGAGAGGGTGGGGACCAGGCTGAACCTCCTTGCCTTCGATAACCCGAACCTGGGTCCATCCTTGCTTCAGTCTGTCGTCCTCCCGCTGTTCCTTCCCAAATGAGCCCCCTCCCGTCACCAGTTGAAACACATCATAGAAGACGTTAGGATTTTGGGAGGGGGACTCACCTTCTCTCCCTCTATCCGAGGCCAGAAGCACGGGCCGCTGACGAGGTCCTTTCTGGGCTGGCAGGCTGCGTAGCCGTGGCCAGCAGGCGGTCAAACCATGGCCAGTCTCTCCCGATCAGCACGGGGACGGGAAGATATTTCATAACCCCGACTTCCACCGGCCAGGTGCTGGGAGTGGCCGAAATGGTCACCCTGCGAGCGGGAACTTGTCGTGTGTCCCCATGGACACAGATTATGGGGAGGAAGGCTTTACACTCCGTTTGGGGGCCGAGAATATGCGACTGGACCAGAGTGACCGCACTGCCCAAGTCCAGGATGGCCCGGAACGGCTTTCCATTCACTTTCACTTCCAACTTTGGCGCTCCAACCGGCAGGTCGCGGTGCACAATGCAGCCTGCCAGCCAGGTCCGTGCGGGGACTTCCGTTGGCATGGGCTCATCCCACTGGGAGGGAGCCGCCGGCCTGCGTACTGGTCGCGGGGTGCCCTCCGGCGCGCGCCGCTCCTGGACCACCCTCCAGGGAAACAGTGGCGCTTGCTCCCCAGCATCCCGGTGTTGGGCCGCATCCGTCAGCTCAACAGCCTCCACCAGCTCCGACGTAGTGGTTGGGTTCCTCATCCTAACGGCCTGTCGTGAGATCGGGGAAGGGCTCGGAGAAGACGGTCTATCACAACGTGCTCCGCCACCTGTCCAGCCAAGGGAGCCCCCTCCAGCAGCCAGTGCTGCGCTAGTCATGTGAGTTCGGCGGCCTGGGTACGGGCTGGCAGACGGGGCTTATACTCCCACTCGTGGAAGTGCTGGGCGGCACAGATAGGGGATAACCCCAGGCGGGCTAGGATTTCCTTCTTGACCTCCTTATATTGATCGGCGGAGGCGGCGGGAAGAGCGAAGTATGCACGCTGCGCTTCGCCCGTCAGCAGGGGAGCCAGCACCCATGCCCAGTCATCCTGATGCCACCCTTCCAAGGTGGCCATTGCTTCGAACATTTGTAAGAAGGCTTCTACGTCATCATGAGGGGTCAGTTTGGGTAGCAGCTTCGCGGCTTGCACTCGGGGGTCCGGCAGCGGAACGCGTTGAGCGGGGGCGGCACGCGGCTCCGTCTTTCCTTGACTGGTGGCGAGGTGCTCAACAATTTGTTGCTGGCGGATGCTAACCTCGGTGAGCCGCTGGAGGATTTCGTCCATGGTGGGGGAGGAGCGCTCGCCTGTGACAGAAAGTGCTCAGTCTCATGGAGGAATCTCCTAGATGGCAGGGCTTGCGTGGCTTATGTAGCCGCCACCTGATGAGGTGCAGCTGTGACCGATCAGCCTGTGATGATGATGGCCAGGTGCTCCTCGTTTGTTTCCAGGGTGACGCTGATGAAGCCTCGGGATGCTCGTCACACTATATATATATATATATATATATATATATATATAAAACTAACAAGAGTGAAATAGGTTGCAAATGCCATTTCATGTTGACAAACATACACATAAACAGTCCAGATGTAAAATTTGCACTTAATATCTAATAATCTAGTCCAGTGTCCTGAACCTTTTATTAATTTTCTCTAGTTCATCGGCTTGGGCAGAAAAAGCAACACGTCTTCGCTCAGTTGTGTCTGATGTGCTGCCAGTTGACGTACACCAGTCCTTTCCATTATCACCAGAGTTCTTGCCCCCTTCTGGAGCAGACTGTCTAGTGTCATCTTTCTGCCTGGAAAGTGTAAGCCATGACTTGCTTTCCTTCAACCATGCCCTAGGACACATCTCCAGTCTGCTTAAAAAAGGTGGTTACCTCCTGCTTATTGGTGCCCTGGGAGAGAGTTTCTATATGGGGGCACCAGGGCTGTACATCCCTGTGGTCCCTCTGGATGAGTCTCAGGTCTGTGCTAGCCTGAAGGCCAGTGGATATGAGCTGTTGCAGTTGTGTATTTACCACCTGCCTCCAGACATGAAGGTGGGAGTGGATGATGTCACTGCTGTGTTCTTTGCAAAAGCTAAGAAATCATAAACAATTTTAGTTGAAGATGGACTGGAAAGGTACGAGATTTATGTATGTCCTTAATTCTTCTCTTTTAAATGTGCATGAAAAATATTTTTGAAAACACTCATATTTGTCAGCATTTGAAATTAAATAAAGCTTGTCAAATTAAATAAATCTATAAATAAAAACGGTTGCTAATGTTTGATTTCACTCATTAAAATTATTAAAATTCCCCCCACATTCATTGTAGCTAATATTGTCTGTCTCTTGAGCATCATATGTGATAGTCTGTTAGTATCTAAATGACATAATACATCAAAATGATAGTCGCATACTGTATTGAAATAGCCAGGGGAATTTTAAACTGCATCAGAAATCACACTATACTGTATAGTGGGCAAAAGACAGTAGGCTGTGACAAAAAAGTATGTCTGAATCCACAGTACTTAAAAGAGCAGGCAAAAAGTACTTGGATGACCTTTTACTTCCAGCGAGATTCTTAAGAATGCATACAATGGACACTTTACTATCCATGAGGAGACAAGAGAGGATTTGTGAATTGCAGTGAAGCAACGCAACTGATGCTGGTAGGCAACATGATAATGACAACATGGCGAATGTATGTCTGGTTAAATTCATACTATACACATTCATATACAATCTAGGAATGCACCAATTTCCAGAACAAGACCTATACTGATTCTTTTATTTTTGGTACTCACTGATACCAATTACCGATACCAATACTGCATTTGTAATTTTTTTTAATGTACAGAAACCAAAAGAGCAGAAATCATGTAATTTGTCTTAATTCATTTAGCAAATACATACTTCCTTCAGTTTTCAGACTTAATTATGCCTGTTAAAATGTATTATACAAGCTTTTGTTACCTTTACTGTTCATTTGTATTGCTCTGATATATTTAATCTTGAATTTAAAGCAGCAGCTTTAAGATGCAGCAATTAGATGCTATTTACACTAAGTGAAAATTGCATATTTTCTTAGCGATAGATGCTATTTACACTAAGTGCAAATAGCTATAGATTCTATTTACACTATGTTAAAAAGCAGGATTTTCTGCTATTTATACTAGTTATTGCAAATAGTGACAATTATCTGCACCTCAGTATTGTAGTACATTAAAAAACAGTGCGCAGTAATAACGTGTAATTTATCATTTTAATTCAAATTGTTAAATGGATGCCACCTTATTGTGATAATAAAGCCCTCCCTCCAACTACCTTAACACTGCCCAATATATTATTTTCAACTTTTAGATTTTTTTTTTTAAATAAATGCCTTTCCAATGAGATATGAGATTTGAAAAGGCAGGAAAAAAAGTTCGGCAAATGGCGATCTCGAATTCAGGTCAATCACATCAAAAAGTACGCGTTTTATCATATATACCACTGGAACTGGTGTTTGATGAGTGTCTTTTGTAGTGTTGACTAGCCCAATCACACGTTGGTGAGCGAAGTTAAATAGCCTCTGCCAACGAGGAGATGTGAACAGAAACTTGTCATCAGCACTGCCCCACAAATTTATCAGTAAAATAGTTTAGCAGCTGAAAAAGTATGACATTTCTCAGTAGCGAGGTTCTTGAAGCAGTTTAACTTAAAGATTTGCTATTAGACGCTGCTGCTGAACACTGCTGAGAGACGCACAGACGCACGTATTCACACACGCTTAATCTCTCTCTCTCTCAAATAATTGCATTTGCCTGCACATCAATGGCCCAAGCCTCTGTTATTAGCTCTAAAATCACGTTTTGGAATTTGCAACGGAAGGTTTATCTTGAAATAAATCATCTGAACAATATCTTGAGGTGTGGTTGTGACACCAGGTCGTTAAAATTATTAGAGATAATAATAAATTTTTATTGACTGATTGCAAGTGCTTATTGCGATAGAAAACACTGTAACGGTTTCCACTGATTACTAAATATTTTTGTTTATTGGGGTGGTAATATTATATAGGCCTATTAATAAGGAAGGGGGGCCCAAAAATATTTTTGCCTATGTCAAAATAAGAGGTAAATCCGGCCCTGGTGATGATGACTTCACCATTTAGTTGGCCTTTGATCAGCATGTCATTACTTCATGACAAAGTTGTGAGGATGTTTCATTTTTTTAAATCTTGGCTAAAATTCCAGAAATGTCATGGGCACGTCCTCAAAAGACATCACTAGTTAAGCTGCGTTCACACCATGTCATAATCACCATAATTCTGAGATGACAACTGGTGATAATTCTGGTGATATTCTACTCCCCAGCAAATATGCCCACGCGGGCCCATTGCAGAAAATCCACATAGGGCCCCTGTGGGTTAGCCCAAGCGGGCCCAGAGTGGTTTTGCCCTTTGGGGTCCCCATGATGGTTTTCCTCATAAGGCCCCAAATTAACAAATTGCTATGGGCCCCCGAGTGGGTTTGCCCATACGGGGCCAATAGCAGTTTGCTAATTTGGGGACCTATGATGATTTTCTGTGGGCAACCCACTGTGGGCTTGCCCACACACACACACAAAAAAAAACACCTGGGTGTAGCCATTCGGTGCCTACAGATGTTTTGTGGATTTTGGTCCCCATGAGGGTTTTCTGTGGGCAATCCACCATGTTAACAACACAGGAGAGCTAAAACTTTGTTTAAAGATTGGATGCTAATCAAAATAAACTTTTTAAATTATTATAATTTTTTATTTACATGCAAATGTTGCAATACAATTATATTTCTGTGACAATAACAGTAAAATGTAAATAATAAATTGTCCATTACAAAAAATTTTATATATTCAACAGCCCATCAAATACTTATATTAAACAGCACACGGTCAACAAGAAAATCTTTTGGTTTGTAGCAGCTTTCAGACAAGATTAGACAGATTGTATTTTACCATATTACAGTAGTTCAAAAACCCAATTGGACCTAAACAGAACACCCAATATGTATATATATAGAACACCCAATATAATATTAACATAGGTGCACAGTGTCAAATATATATATATATTAGTGCTGGGTAAGTTATCGCATTATTATTGCGTTAACGCATTAACTGATTAACGCAGACAATTATTTTATCTCGCATTATCGCAGTTTTTTTATTATCATGAAAGTCCGTTGCTCACTGGCTCTGAATACACATACAGACAAACCATGGGTCACAGAAGGGGTGGGATGTTGATCAATACTGGCTTGGGATATGTGTCATCACGCATCTCAACCAATGAGAGCATTTGGGATGGGCCTAAGACTGCAGCAGCGCTCACATGAACGCTCCCAACTTCTTAAGTGGGAAATAGGACGTTTTTGATAGCACGTGAAGCAGTGTTGCCAAGTCCGCAGTTTTCCTGCGGAATTGGGCTACTGACTCTGTTGCCGTGGATTGTTTTTCATGTCCGCGGGTTAAAGCGACTCCAATAACATGATATTTGTCCCCTGGAATGCAAATTTTTAACTGGAGACCCCCTCGAAACACGATTGGACTAGTTTTGGGCTAGTTTTGAGTAGCAATTAGGTGGGGTTTCTTGTGAAAACTTGGCAACCCTGACGTGAAGGCAACAGAGAAGCGCTCTCTCTCAGCACAGTGGAGTGCATCGTTTTGTTAACTTTGTGGTTTATTATTTTGAGTCGTTTGGGGCGCGGTAACACACACGGCCCTCTCACAATATAGTGCTTTACAGATTCACTGTTGCCGCTCAGAAATGTTCACGCAATCATGCTGCACGTATCAGAAGTTCCGCGCTCCGCTCACACTACATGCGTACCGCACCCGAGCCCAACTGAACTGGACCACCTCTTCCAACCGAGCCAGGGCCGGTGTTCCGGCGAATTCAGTTTCCCTGTTTCCCCCTCACAGCGCCTGCGCAACTTAGCAGTGTTGCCAAGTCCGCGGTTTTCCAGCGGTAGTTTTTAGTAGCAATTGGGCTTTCTTTTTTTATATATCCTGGCAACCCTGAAACTTCAGTACTAAAATCATGACTTCATGATTTCGCCCCGGGCTAAGCAAGTCAGCTTATGGTGGTTTTGCTGTCTTTCTGCAAGCAACATTTCACCATGTTATATTTTTTATTTTTTTATGCGCAGGACAGTATACTGTAGACTTAATAAATATTAAGATGAGCAGGAATGTACAAGAAAAGAATGTTCAAACAGGTTATATACATGATTTATAACACAATACAGTGATACTGGTTATGTTTTTCAATGTCATAATTATGTCTAACCACTTTCATCTGCAGAACAGTGTTTTACATTGAAAACACAGAGGGAACAGATTTACCTGGATGCAGCATTTTAGTTTTTTTTTGTCTAGATATTAATTTGTCATTTAAGTAGGCAACATGAATTAAAGGATTTAAAAAAAAATTACAATTATTATTATTTTTTAATTCTTTTTATAAAAAATTGTTTTAGAGGATTTACACATGTAATTTACTTTTTTTTTCATTGATTAATATCTGTTGTAAAGTATGACCAACATATGTGAAAATATATGTATTCAAAAGTTTGGGGTTGGTATTTTTATTTTATTTTTGTGAAATTTCAGGGTTGCCAGGATATATAAAAAAGAAACGCCCAATTGCTACTAAAAACTACTGCTGGAAAACAGCGGACTTGGCAACACTGCAAAGTTGCGCAGGCGCTGTGAGGGGGAAACAGGGAAACTGAATTCGCCGGAACACCGGCTAAACGAACCGGAGCGGTCACACTAGTCAAACGAACCGGGCTTTGGGGGTCAGATGCGCTCGGGCACGGTTAAAGGATTAGTTCACTTTTAAATTAAAATTTCCTGATAATTTACTCACCCCCATGTCATCCAAGATGTTTATGTATTTCTTTCTTTAGTCGAAAATAAATTAAGGTTTTTGATATAGTGGACTTCAATGGACTCCAAACGGTTGAAGGTCAAAATTACAGTTTCATTGCAGCTTCAAAGGACTTTAAAGGATACCAGACGATGAATAAGGGTCTTATCTAGTGAAACGTATATGCTTTATAAACACAAATGCTCGCCTTGCTCTGTTCTGCGCATTCATGACTTCACGTAATATGTAATTACGTTGAAAAGGTCACGCTTGACTTAGGCGGAAGTACCGAGTCAGTGTTTACAAATGTGGAGAACGAGGACCGTTCAAAAGTTGTTGAATATTCAATGACACATATTAAAATGTCTTTGTGTCAGTTTATTGTTTAAAATGGTAATTTCGTGTGCGTATCCTGGATGTTTTAATATTAAAAAAACCTAAAAGAAAATTTACGCTAGGAAAGAAAATTGTGACTTTTCATAGATTTCCTATACACAATCCTGACCGATTGAAACTGTGGTTGCTCACGCTGCACTTGGATATCAACACACATGCTCTTGTATTTAAGAGAGTGTGCAGTGATCATGTTTTCGACTATGATTTCAAACCCTCCCAGCAAGGAAATTGCCGTTTTCTGAAAGCGTCGGCTGTGCCCAATATGTTTTTAAAGCAAACAGAGGTATGTATGTTTTTTTACTATATTAGATGCATTAACAGTTTTTTTTCTCTTCAATGTGTTTCATAACGTGTGAATGTTTATTTATTAATAATATCTTCCTATTACTAAAGACATGTTAAAATGTTTTTTTTTTACTCCTAATATCCGTCTCGTGAAAATCTAGAGTCCCTAGCAAAAGACAATGATGCTGAGCTGGAGGTCCAGGGAGCAGGAGTGTTTTTGGATAATGTTCCACAGTCAACACCAGTAAAGCAACAGGACTCTGGTCCAGGAACTACCACGAGACAGTTTGCAGATGCTCAGTCTAAACTTTTAGTGCTCACATGTTCTGAAAGTGTTGGAAAGAGGACAAAACTCTCAACATCTGGGACATATTATGCCCTCCCTGCAATATACTCCCACCAGTCTGTGAGTACCATCATTTGTGACCAGTTAATAAAGTGAAATTATGGTCAATTATGCTTTTGTGTTATACATTGGAAATAGATTAATTAAAAAAAATGTAGTATTTAATAATTTGCTGATATTGTATCCTTAAAAATGTACAGATATTCAGTAATAAATGTATTAAATCTACTATTTACATTACTAATTTATATTCAGTTATATTATAAACCAACTTTAATCCATGTAATTTCACAGCCTCCCGTGTATAATCAACCAGAACAGACGGAAGAGCAATTTGAAGAAAGTTTGGAGCTTGATGTTAGCATGCTTTCCATAGATCCTCCATCGGACAAGAAAGATCTTAGTTAGATCTTAGCGTTCAACATCAACGTCTGCCCCAAGCTAGAAGATGAGGAATGTGAAATGCATTGGAAACAGATAAAATGGATTGTCAACGAGTCCAATGTCATTGAGCTTTTCAAAAGATATCAAGAATGTGGATCAGTAATAACAAAGACCAGAAAAGCAACTGTGGGAAGTGTTCTCCATGTTCACTGGGAATGTGAAAAAAACCACAAGGGAAAGTGGAGTTCATGCACTGTTATTAGGGGAATACCCGCTAATAATCTTCTTGTTTCTGCATGCACACTATTCACTGGAGCAACATATACAGACATCACTGATTGGGCCACTTTGCTCAACCTTCAAATAACCCATAAAACCACTTACCATGACATTAAGTCTTCCTACCTTATTCCAGTCATTAATGAAGAATATCAAGAACAACAGAAAACAGCAATTAATGACTTACATTTGCAAACTGAACTCCGTTATCCAGTTCATTTGTCCGGAGATGGGAGGTCAGACAGGCAAGTAAATGTAGTTATTAATTTTTTTGGACAATTTTAGAAAATTTTAACAATACTGAATTGTGTTGTACTTGTGGTTCTTTTAGCCCTGGATTTTCTGTGAAATACAACACTTACAGTTTAATGGATGACACAACAGACAAGATTGTTCACTTTGAGTTGGTGCAGGTCAGTTTACATGACATAATTCTACATCCCGTATGTTATTAATTATAAGTAACCTTGGTAAGTGTTCAGTATTTTAAAGTGAAGTACAGTAAAATTACTGGAAGTTTTTGCAATGTTATGATCAATATAAAATGCTTTTAATAATACTTAATAAAATATGTTGGTTATTTTGAACATCAATGACAACACACACACACCTTGTTTATCTAGCATGGTATTGCATTTCTGGTTACAGAAGCATCTAGTTCTGTGGCCATGGAGCCAGTAGGTTTCAAGAGGGCTGTGAACACACTACAAGAGCAAGAAATCAAAATAGATGTGCTGACCACTGACAGATCGACACGAATTTGATATTTGGCATGTAGTCAAAGGTAACTGTCTCACAACAAATTAATACTGCTATATATATATATATATATATATACATATATATGTAACGGAAGAGGTCTGACGCAACAGGTTAGTATAAATCAGATAGGTTTATTTGGTCACAGAGAGTACTGGGGTAGGGTTCAGAGGATGTGATGGTGAGGGAATAGTTCGAAGGATATGATGAGCGGGGTAATCCGGGTCTTTGGCTGTACAGGAGCTGGAATGCAGGCAGGAGGAGCACCTCAGAAATCCGGGAACTAGGAGGAACAGGAGACACTTGGAGAGGAGGAGACACTAGGAGGAACACAGGAGGTAAGTAATGCAGGAAGTATTCAAATGGAAGTAGTAGCAAAGTCACTGAATCCTCTACGTGTATACGAGACCGGACCGTGAGGGTGTCTGAGGTGTGTGCTTTTATGCAGGCTGGTAATGAGGTGCTTGATTGGTGACAGGTGCAGGTGCTCAGAACTCAGGTGAGAGGGATCATTGTGATGATTGGGAGGTGACTGAGTCTGGCCGATCTGTGACAATATATATATATATATATATAAAGAGAGAGAGAGAGAGAGAGAGAGAGAGATTAATCATGAATTAATCATGAATTATCCAAAAAGCAGCATAGTTCAAAGCTTATTTATTCCTATGTAGGAATATACAATGTGTTGTTTACATGGATCAAAAAATTGCTACAATAAACCGTGAAGTACTAAATTAACCTTGGTATGCACTATATTGTCACTCCTTCTTCATTGTTTGATAATTAAAATGATTGTTTTTCAGGACTTTCCAAAAAGTTGTGCTCCATGTCAAGATACAAGGATAATCGAGAGCTGCAGCCATGGATACAAAGTATTTGCAACCACTTATGGTATTGCTCTGCAACTTGTGGAGGTGACCCTGACGTAAGTTCTTTAATGTTTTAATATTAATTTCTTAATATATACACACACTTGTGTTATCTTTTTTGGGGGCGTTAAGTAGACATAATAGCCTTTATACTGTACTAATGTTATATACGAGTCCCTGAACCACAACAGGACACAGTCTGCATTTTCTGTAAAAAAAAATTAATTACTATGGTTTGTTAAACTTTGTTCTTTATAGGGAGCTAAATTGTGTTCTTGTAAGGTTTTAAATATTGGGGTTGCTGGACCACAAACATCTATTTTTCCATGTTTAAAAATTCATATATTATTATAATAATTACTTTTTTGCGTATTCCTGTATTTACACAGGAACTGATCGAGAATTGGAAGTCCATTCTTTTTCACATTACAGGTGTGCACAGTTGGATTGCAGAAGGAAAGCCAAAAAAATGGCGACACAATGATCTCAGTCCGGAACAGCAAAGAAGAAAAAATGGCTTGGAAAAGATTCACGTGCCTTCCACACACTACAGAGTCTTGTCCTGGACAAAGGACTTCTAAAGGATTTGAGGCAAATGGCTATTTTCAAACACACTGGTAAGTTAGTTATACATAGTAATGTACACACACATGTTCATGTAGGTACACCGGATACACATTTTTCTTTTATTTTTAGGACAACTGGAGGCGTTTCATTCTGTCATACTGAAGTACTGCTCAAAGAACCTGCATTTTCATTATGCGTCCATGGTTGCAAGAACACAACTAGCTATCCTTGACCACAATGAAAATGTAGGTCGTCAGCAAGCCACAACCACTACTGGTAAGTGGGAAACAACATACTGTGCGTAACTTCTAAAAATGTCTCAATATGTAGGGTGATGACAATAGATTTGAGTTCATAAAGTTGAGAATCAAATGGGAATGTTCTCTTATAGTAATGTAATCAATAAAATTTGTATAATTTATTCTGTTATGTTTCATCTTTTTTCTTTTATTATAGGTGTACCTCGGTACAATGTGGTTTTCCCGAAACATTACCAAAGAATGGTTAGCCAAAGTGATTTTTGAACAAACTACTCAAAAATTCAGAGAGACTCTGGTTGAGAAAGTTCTACAGCGGCAGCTGAACACCAACGTTGTTTTCAAGGACAGTTCTTCTCATTTGACTCATCGCCCATTGCCACAGAACATAGCACTAAATCCAAGGCCTGACAAGCAAGAACTAATTGCAAAGCGCTTATCAAGATTTGGACACTAATTTACTTTAAAAATGTTATGAGTCTAATGTACAATTACTTTTATTACTCATGTTGTTTTATATAGTTTTTCTCATTTTTTCTTATTGAGGTAACGACAGAATACACCGTTGGTAAAAAGAAAAGTATTTCTTGTGTTAGTGTGAATATATGGTCCTTACTGATGGTACCCTACATCAGTTGCAATTACACATCAACAACTGTAGTTATCTCAAATTTGTTTTATTCTTCCAAATAAATGTACGTGTGAGACATCAATAAGTATGTAGTGTTGATGTATATACAATAACAAATAACACTGAATATGAAAGTAACAAAACTACAGCAATTACAGTAAGTAACAAATACAAATACTACCCAAGCCACAACAAATTATAATGTTTATCAAAAATGTAACATTGTAATTCTAATTCCAATTAATATACCTACAAAAGACCAAAAGCCTCTTCTGCTTCTCTGAAGCCCACATAATGTCCTGATGGAGAAGGGTATGACTATCTGATGGCACTGACAACACAGTATGGAAGAACCCTCCTGTTTCGTCTTCCCAATCGCTCTCCTTTCAGCATCCATTCCAGAACTATCCTGTATGCCACCATCCTTTATTGACTGTAAAATAAAGGAAATGTGTGCAGTGAATAACTTTTAAATATATATATTTGTACTACATGTAATGATACTACACGCAATACTTACTCTACTGTTAGGGTGCCACCAGGTGCTTGTGGCCTCGGATGGCGTCTCCAGTTAATTTTGGGCAAACTAAAAAAACACCTCTAAAACGCTGTTGCTCAGTAATGGTGGAAAACGTCTCAGGTTACATATGTAACCATGGTTCCTCGAGGGAACGAGACGCTGCATCGGAAAACGCTTTGGGAACGCCTTCTGTGACCACGCTCTGAATCATATGTGAAATCAGTCCAATAGCTGGGCGAGACATCACGGGCGGGAGACGTCATGGCCAGGAAGCTACAAAAGCACGTAGCACCAAGCCGGCGTCAGCTTCAGGAATGAAGCAAGCACTGGCAGGGATGCTGGAAGTATGGCACCGAGGTGCAGCGTCTCGTTCCCTCGAGAAACCATGGTTACATACATAGCCTGAGACGTTCCTCTTCAGGAACTCGAGCTGCATCGGAAAACACTTTGGGAACGAGAATGCCCACGCCGCCAGACTTGCAAATCCCTGCCTAGTGTGGAAGAGCACAAGTAAGGCGAGAGAAAGGGGAGCCAGGAGTGGCTAAAGTAGGCGGGGTCCGCCGTCCCGAAGGCCAACTTCTGTAAAGTTGAAAGTACAGTTTCCTCATAGAGGGACCTCTGGATGGAGGATGGTCTCAACAACCTCAGTTGAGAGACCGGAAGTTATGAATTGTGCCTCCTCAGAGGCCACAACCACAGATTCCCAGCTCCGGGCGGGCTGTGAGAGGAGATCTCTCCTGACGGGAATCTCCCATAGAGTGTCGTCGATGAGAGAAATCAGGCCCAAGAACCATACTTGGCGTGGCCAGAACGGGGCTACTAACAGGCGCACTCTCTCCAGAACTCCCGGGAGCAGACCAATCAGAGGAAAGGCGTACAGACGAAGCCTCGGCCACGTCTGTACCATGGCATCCAGCCCCAGTGGAGCTGGATGAGTAAGAGAGAACCAAGGGGGACAGTTCAATGTCATATGAGTCACAACAGGTCTACCTGAGCCTGGCCAAAACACTCTCCATATCTGCTTCACCACCTCGGGGTGAAGCACCCATTCCCCGGGCCTCGGCCCCTGCCTCGACAGGATGTCTGCTCCCAAATTGACATGCCCAGGAATGTGAACTGCTCTAGCGAGAGGAGTTTGCCCTGGGACCACACATCTCGATTTCGAACCGCCATCCGCTCTGATTGAGCTAATATCAACCAATCGTCGATGTGGTTGACTCGTGAAAGTGTAGGGTGAGAGTGCAAGGCCAAAGGAATAAACCGGTATTGGTAGGCTTTTACCCCCAAAAGCAAACCTCAGGAACTTCCTATGATGAGGAAGGATGGAGATATGTGCATCTTTTAGATTGATCGTGACACACCAGTCCTTGGACTGAGACACAACCTGTTTGACTGCGATCATGCTGAACTTCAGTCGCATGACTGAGCGGTTCAATAGGCGCAGATCTAAAATAAGACACAACCCCCATCCTTCTCTCGAGACTGATCTCTGGTGTGCCCAGAACGGCTAATTCGGTACCCTGAAGCGGCACACCAGCAGGGGGCGGCCGAACTAGCTGCTCTGGGGGCCTCCGCAGAGGCCGCGAGCCTCTCAGTGCTGCTATGTTGCCGGGCGGTAACTGAAAGAAACGTTTGCTGGAGACCGCTGCGCCCTGGAACACCGGCGGGGTTGGCAGAACAATCTCCCGAGGGCACTGGGGGGAGACAGGCACCGTGTAATGCTGTGTGAACCTTTCTTCCCCAGAGGGGCCTGCCCTCCGAGGTCCTGAGCCACAGCATCAGGACTCTCATAGCTGAAGTCTCCTATTGAAAATGACGGCCCTCAGACACACTTCGTCTGCTAGGAAGACTAGACCAGAGCCTGCTCGGAGCAGGACCCAATGAAGCACACTTGGCAGGGGCTCCCACTCCGCCAGGTGACCTGCTAAGGGAACTAGTCTCGCGAGACTGGCCTCTGCTGCACCTAGTGCAGCTAGCTCAGTGCCCTGAAGTGGTGGACTGGCAGGGGGCGGCCGTACTAGCTGCTCTAGAGACCTCCGTAGAGGTAGCGAGCCTCTTAGTACCGCTCCGTTTCTGGGCGGTAACTGAGAGAAGCGCTCGCCGGAGACCGCTGCGCCCTGCAACATGGCAGGGTTGGCAGACCGACCTCCTGATGGCACTGAGGAGAGACGGGCACCATGTAATGCGGTGTACACCGCTCTTCCCCAGAGGAAGCAGGCCCTCAAAAAGTCCTAGGCCTTTAGGTGTCAGGACGTTTACGACGAAGACTATCCAAAGAGAATGACGGTCCGCAGACCCGCCTTTGGCCTGGGAGCATCACTCTGACTCTAGACTCTGCGGAATACAAGAAGTGAGGCCCCCAGAATGAGAGGATGGAACATGGTAGGTTGGGACCACTCCCACCCAGCAGCCCCTGCTGACCGCCTCAACCTCCTCAGAGGAAGAGAGGTAAACACGTGCTCTCACTCGAGACATTTTTATCCCAAGAGCCCCTGTATATCTAACTTCTCATAGTCAGACAAATACTTCGTTTTATTCCTCAGAATAAAATGCAATCAAACAACCAGACGAGTAAATACGGTCTGGTGTAGTAAGATTCACATCCGGTGGGAAGGACTTCCGAAACTTCGAAAACCCCGAGAGCAGGAGCCGGATCTGGTGGTTAGGAAGCAGATCCATACGCGAAACCCACGAGAACAGCCGCCGCTCCACCTCGGCGAAAGGAATGCTAGTGAAGACTCCCTCCTCAAAGAGAGCTCTCTGAGAGTGAAGCAAGTCAGTAACAACTGTGCTTTGCTCCCAAGCAGATAACAAACAAACTGTGTGTATCCCCACCCGTAAAGTAACACGGGCAGGGAGAAACACACAGCCTGAACGCTGCCTGCTTGCCACTTAGGTGTTTGGTTTTGTCTTGGGATTTCGTGACAGACAACACTAAAGAAGACTCACAAACAGATATCAGACTGACACCGCATGTGCTTTTGTAGCTTCCTGGCCATGACGTCACCCGCCCGTGACGTCTCGCCCAGCTGTTGGACTGATTTCACATGTGATTCAGAGCGTGGTCACAGAAGGCGTTCCCAAAACGTTTTCCGACGCAGCTCGACTTCCTGAAGAGGAACCATTTTGTTCGGTAATGCAGCGAGATGGAGACAGGGTCTCACTGACTGATTCTAATGGCGGAATTGAAATGGTCCAGTCGTGGCAGCATTGAAATTCTTGGTCTGTTGGCAATGGTTGGCATTTGCCACATGTGCACCACCACGTCTTGTTAGATCTTCGTCTGCCCGAATCTTGAGAGGTTTGTGTCGGCGCAGCAGTCTCCTCCATCTGCCTTATTTCTTCCTCTGTGTATTCCGGTTCAAAAAGGTAGGACAGTGCAAAAAACTCCATCTCATCTTATCCTCCAAGTTCTAAATCGTCCGAATCGTTGTTTTACCTTTTAACTCCCTTTTTTTGTAAATGGCGTTTGACTTAGTATTTGCACGTTCAACTTGTAAACACTGACTCGGTACTGAGT